TTTAAAAAAAAAAAAAAAAAAGTCGATGATATATCGAGAAAAAGAAGTCTCAGCATGTTAAAGTTATAAACTTGTTTAACAGAAAGCAGACTATATATCCCTTCCAAATTGCTGAAGGGATTTTTTTTTAAAGAAAACATAGATCTTACAGCAAAAGATAGAAAAAAAATAAGCAACAAGAAAGCATTAAATCGGCAAATGAAAAATAATATGGCAGAGGCGAGATCAAATATGTGTTTTAATAATAAATGTAACTGGATAAAATTCATCTTTTAAAAGAAGAGGATTCTGAATGGATCTTTACAAAAACTTCAGCTATTGCTCTCAAATGACAAACCTGGAACATTGTGACTCAGAAATATTAAAAGTGAAATAAGATATTAGGCAAATGAAAACAATGACAACAAAAAAACAGAGTGCTTTTGTTTGTTAATATTAAACAAGGTTGAATTCAAGGTAAAAAACTTGAGATAAAACAAGAGTGTCCCACCTATATTAAAAATATGACTATTATGACTATATTTGCTTGGGATTGCATAGCACTTATATAAAGTAAAAACCATTGTGGGGGGGAAGTGGCAACAGTGCAATAATGCAGGGAGATTTTGCCACACTCCTTTTTTTTTTTTTTTTTTTTTAGGGAGCCCAAGGTGAGTGATGAGAAAGTAAGGGAGAACTTCACATTTTTAGATTTTTTTTTTTATTGATTTTTAGAGAGAGGGAAAGGAAGAGGGAGAGAGAAACATCAGTGTGAGAGTGGAACATCGATTGGCTGCCTCCTAGTGGGGATGGAGCTCACAACCTGGGCATGGGCCCTGACAGGGAATCGAACCTTTCAATGCTCAACAACTGAGCCATACCGGCCAGGGCTCCTTTCAGTTCTCTTTTTTTAATTTTTTAAAATTGATTTTAGAGAGAGAGAAAGAGAAAGAGAGAGAGAAAAATATCAATATGTTGTTCCACTTAATTTGTGCATCCGTCGGTTGATTCCTGTACGTGCCCTGACCAGGGACTGAACCCACAACCTTGACGTATCAGGATGATGGGAGGGTTAGCTGTATGTGGTCCCGTGTTTCCTAAACTTCACAGCTACAAACTGTCTTTACCGTCATTTATTTAAGGTTTTCCTTTAGATCAACTCATTGTTTTTGTTTGGTTAAATACATTTATTATAAAGGGAAACTTGTAATGATGATTGCAATTGGAAACCAACATTATTTCCTATGAAAAGTAGGTAACCACATAGAGGAGAGTAAAAACAAAAGACTTTTATGTTGTTTCCCGCAGAAGGCTGTGAGCTGAGCCTGACACCCTTCCTCCTTGTTAAAATGGGAGATCAGCTGGTTCTGGAAAGGCCTTTCAGGTGCCCGAGCCCAGAGCTGAGACTTGCCCTTTAACATAAAGGAAGAGGCATTCTCGCCACGCATTCTGCTCCGTTGTCCGCTCACCACGTCAGATCGTTTCCTGGCCCGCCGGTGGCACACAGGCTCCTCGGAGAGCACGCTGGCGTGTGCACCGCTGACCGTGGAGTCCCCTCCCCTAGCGTCTCACCTCTGCCCCCCCCCCACCCTCCTGGGTGCAGTTATTGTGAGAGTTAATGCCTCATGCGGGGTGGGACTGGCCATGGTCGGGAGGTCATGTCCCCTTGTCCAACCTGGTCTGCAGGCCTTTGAGGACATCTACCTGGAGGAGCGGAGGACCGTCAAGGTTCTGCTCGAATACGCCGACAAGATGTTCACCTACGTCTTCGTGCTGGAGATGCTGCTCAAGTGGGTGGCCTACGGGTTCAAGAAGTACTTCACCAACGCCTGGTGCTGGCTCGACTTCCTCATCGTGGGCGTGAGTGTGGTCCTGGGGGACGAGGGGAGGGGGCGCCATTGCCAGTGCGAGCAGGAGCTGAGACGGAGCCGGAGGGACAGAGTGACAGGCCGCCGGGAGTCCGGCTAAAGTGGAGACACTCGGCTGTGCCCTGGGGCAGGCAGAGGGGAAGGAGGCCAGAGTCTGGGGTCACGGGGAGAGACCTGGACCCTGCCGTCAGAACCCCCAATTTGGGGGGGACAGAGGAGCAGAGGGAGACCTAGGTCTTGTCCTCAGGAGCCCCCTGGCTTCTGGGGGAGACTAGAGCCATCGTATGAAATGGTGAAGAGCAGTTCAGGCAGGGGTGTGAGCCAGGGCAGGGGTGAGGCTCACCCTCGCAGCATGGCTGGAAGTGGGGAGCAGACGAGCCTGTACTGTGCGGAGATCACGGCCTGTTGTGAATGTCTGTCAGCCCACTAGACACAGGGCCGTCTGCACAGGGGACAGTGATCCAAAGGCCACGGGGACAGGGTTGGTGAGGAGGTGCTGGGCAGGCAGGAGAGGTCCTCCTGGCTCAGGAAGATGGTACCCCCTGGGGAGGAAGAAAGGGGGGTGGAGTCACCTGTGAGCAGGAAGAAAGCCATGAACGCTGGCCCAGGGGTTCTGGGTGGCTGCCCTGGAGGATCGGGTAGCTGGCAGGGTGTGCCTGCCCAGGCTGTGTCCAGGAAGGGCCTGGGGCAAGAGGTTCACACATCCTCTGAGAAGAGTGAGAGGCCCTGCCCCACAACTACTCAGGCCCAGGGCACTGCTGGGTGCCACGCAGGGTCCGAGGGGGAGAGTCCCAAGATTGCACAGTCAGCCCATGGAGAAGGAAACCGGGGCTCACAGCGGGGAGAGGCCTTGCCCAAGATCAGGCAGAAGGAAGTGAGTGTTGGAATCCAGCTTTCCTGGCATTGGCCATGCTGCCCCCAGCCCCCAGCCCCACACCTCGTGGGAAAGGGGGTCTTCAGGCCTCAGGGTCTGGAGAAGGATATTTTCAGGATCAATTAATGCATTTTTTCCATATTGAGCATCTATGAGCAAGAGCTATGGTAGGTGCTGGGGATCTGAGGGAACAAAAAGACAAAAACCCTGCCAGTGCAGAGGATCAGTAAACCTACTAAGTTAGCCAGTTTTATATTGTCAGAAGGTAATGTGTACCATGAAGATAAAGGAAGTGAGGGGGGGTTAAGGCCAGGGCACAGGGGGAGGAGAGGTGTAGAGCACAGCTTTAAACAGGCTGGCAGGAGTGGGCCCACTGAGGAGACGTTTGAGCAGGTTTGAAAGAAGTTGAAGTGAGCCAGGCAGATGTCTGCAGAACATTCCAAGCAGGTGTCGGAATGGCAGTGCCAAGGTCCTGTGGTCAGTGCGTGCCAGGCACACTTGAGGAATGACAGGAAGGCCAGAGCAGCTGGAACAGTGAGTCGGGGAAGCAAGTGCAAGAGATGAGACCAGATGTGTGGGGCAGAAAGGTGCAGCCTTTGGAAAACAGGGGCTTTTATTAGAATGAAATGGGGAGACACTGCAGAGCTTTGAACAGAAGAGTGACATGAACTGAGTCATGTTATTAAAAGATCACTCTGTGGGGTGGTGGGGGAGGGGGCCCGAGTGGAAGGAGGGAGAAGAGTTGGGAGGCCGTGGCAGTAATCCAGGGGAGAGGTGACGGTGGCCTGGCCACGATGGTGGCAGTGAAAGTGGTGAGAAATATCTGAACTTCTGATGTATTTTGAAGACAGAGCCAACAGGAAATCCTGATGGGTTGGAAGTAAGGTGTGAGACACAGAGAGGAGGCAGGGATGACGCCAAGACTGTGGCCTGAGCAGCTGGAAGGATGGAGTTGCCATCAACCGAGTTGGGGAGACTATGGGTGGGGCAGCTGGGGCTAGAACAGACGTCAGAGGTGGCCTGCTGGGAATTAGGCAGACCAACTGGCCTGGGGGCTCTGCCCTCAGGAGGCCATCCCTGGGAGATGCACCTCTGCCTCTCCAGGAATGGGGACCCGAAGCTGGGCATCCTCAAGGGATGCCCCCTCTGCCCAGCCCCCTCCCACCAGGTGTTCCAAGCCTGGGAGGAGGCTGTGGCAGCCAGGCCCTTGGCCATGGCTCCTCACCACCCCCAGGCTGCCCTGAATGCCAAGGTCCTATTACTCATGATGGCATCCGAGGGCCATTTCCAAGCTCTGTTCCCAGGCCAGCGGTGAAGTAAGAGGGACTGATGCCCATGGAGCTTTGGAAGGATGAAGTCCACGGGAAGGAAATGCCATAGTGGGGCGGGGCGGAGGGGACAGATTGCTGAGGCTCTCCTTGCCCCAGAATCTCCACCTAAGCCTCCCTTCTTTGAAGACGTCAGAATGTCCCAAAGTCTGACTTTGGGGAAGTGCCCCAGAGGAGTCTGTCTGCTTATACTCAACCCAGGACAGTCCTTCCTTCACCAAAAGAGGCCCAAGAATTTGACTTCAAGGAAAACACATGGGAACCAGGCTTTGTGTCCCTGCTCCTCCACACCAGCAGGTGGCTTTGGAGGCTCTCAGTAAAGGTGTATCTCAGCCAGGACACACTTGGGCTTGCCCCCAGTCTCTGGGGCCCCAGGAAGGCTGGCCCGTGCCTGTGAAGACAAGCCAGTCGGGAATAATCAAGACTGGACACGGGGAAGGCCTGCTGGCCCCCTCACCCCAGCCCTGTTCTGGGTGGGCCAGGAGCTCTTCCACCTGCCTGTCTCTAGAGCTATCTCCGTGTCTCCCACCTTGCCTCCCACAGGTCTCACTGATCAGTCTGGTGGCCAACACCCTGGGTTTTTCTGAGATGGGCCCCATCAAGTCGCTGCGGACGTTGCGGGCACTCCGACCCCTGCGAGCCCTGTCACGATTTGAGGGCATGAGGGTAAGAGGAGTGGCTGACTTCCCAGGACACACTTTAGGGGAGAAATACCCCCCACACCGTAGCAGTGACCTGCAAATAAACCAGAAACTTAGCTCAGAGAACACGTCCCCTGAAGCCCATTCCCATCAGTCTCTGGCATATTCAGCCACCCTGTTGAAAACTAAGTTTCAAGGTCATGGATTCAGGCAGGGCCAAGAAGGGAAGGGCAGGTGCTCTGGAGTTGCAACAGACTTTAGGGTGCAAAGAGAAAGGTGTGTGCTCTCCCACTGTCCCCTCACCTAGGCTTCCAGCTGTGGGTTGCTCTTCCTTGGGGACAGGAAGTGTTCTGCGCCTCCCTCCCCCGCAGGGACCTATGGCCAGGGAGTTCAGCAGGTTGGAGATGGGGGTGTCTTGAAAAGGTCATATTCTCTGGGCACCCCCAGGAGCTGAGTCTCTCTTCTGTCCTCTTGAGGTTGTGGTCAACGCCCTGGTGGGCGCCATCCCGTCCATCATGAACGTCCTCCTCGTCTGCCTCATCTTCTGGCTCATCTTCAGCATCATGGGCGTGAACCTCTTTGCGGGGAAGTTTGGGAGGTGTATCAACCAGACTGAGGGGGACCTGCCTTTAAACTACACCATCGTGAACAACAAGAGTAACTGTGAGTCTCTAAACATGACCGGCGAACTGTACTGGACCAAGGTGAAAGTCAACTTTGACAACGTGGGAGCTGGGTACCTGGCCCTGCTGCAGGTGGTGAGTCTCAGAAAGGAGGGACTCCCTTCCTCCCACTGGTTCTCTAGCAACAGGCGCCTTCACCCTCGGTGTGGGCAGGAGGGGGACAGTGAGGCCACTCTGAATCCTCACAGTCGGATCACATTGCCCAAAGGAGGCCAAGGTTCTCCAGACTTCTTGGCTCCATGAGAAGTCCCCAGATTTTTCTTTCCAGAGCAGATGCCACATTCTCCAAAGTCCACGACATGGGGTTCAGCACTGAGGCAGAACTAACTGCCCAGCCAGCAGCCAGGTTGACCTCCTCACACGGTCGGTTTTGGCACAGCTTAAAAATGAAGGACCATAGACGCCCAGGGCTGAACTGTTAGCAAAACGGTGGCTCTCGCCATCCCTCTGTTACAAAAAGTAGTGAAATTTTCTATATTGTTTAAAATAATAGATTTACTTCCATCTCCAATGGGCAAGATGCATGATGTTTAAACACAGCTCTACTCAGTCTTTCCAAAGTTTTCATTGATTTGTGAGGATGGTAGCTTTAGTGAATATAACACAGGCCATTAAATTAAACTACGAATGTCCTTAACAACAGAAATGCAGACAGAACCATAACTCATGAAGCTGCAGCTGGCTTTTCTTGCTATCCCAATCTTAAGCTCAGACATGTGTCTCTAATCCCCAAAGCAAAAGAAAACTTAGTGGGACTCCTACCTGAAAACAAAGCATGTCTACTCACACTTCCACCCACCCCTTAAGTCCAAGTGGTAGCTTTCTCCAAAGACTCCCCTGGAACCCCTCAAGGAGAAGATTAGAGCTGAATCCAGAGAGCCTCCGATCCCTGTGACCATCCCTCTGAATGTCAGAATTGAGAACTGTCTATAGGCAGAACCATGCAGCAGCTGGCAAGAATTTAGTCCCAGGCATCTCCTAACCTTGTGTGGTCCTCAGCGGTTTCCAAAGCATTTCCAGGCCTCCCTGGACAGGTGAGGGCCTCTTGGGATAAGGAGCTGAAATAGCTTGCCTTCTGTGGAGCGGCCTCAGTTTCCCCATCTGCCCTGCCTGCCACATGAAAACTCTCAGACATGCACCCTTCGTGTGGACAAGCTTGAACCCTGAAAGGAGGCTTGGGGCAGAATTGCATTTTGCCAAGGACACAAGTGAGACCCACTGTGCAGTTGGCCTCACCACCAAGCCCATCTTTTAGACGCTTTCTGACTTCACAGCAGCCCAGACTGGGGCAGATGGTGCAGCCAGCACCAGGGCCCTGTCTCATTGCCATGGGTGCTCGAGCCAAATATTTTGCAATCTATTATGAAAAATTACATTTTGTAAACTTATAATTAACTAAATGATATTAAAACAAAATGAACACTCACCATTACCATGTAGTATCATCTGTGCTCTTGGAGTTAATACATCTATTATATCCATACAGTGGAAATTTTATAATGCGATGTTCCTGTGCATCTCTCCCCAACTCTGTGTGCTCAGTAACTGCACATCAGCAACTTGAAATCAGCCTCGGTGGGAGAATTTATGCAGGGAGATTGGCAAACCCAACAATCGGTGCTTTTTTTTCTTTCTGGAAAGTCATTTGTTCACCATTTACCCACACACCACTGGCAAAGGCCCCCTCTTAAGTACAAGGGAAGGTTGGGATTTTTTAGGGATCCTTTGAAAGGCTATGGAGCAGAAGCCACAAAGTTCTCTGAGGTGCATGACAGAGGGGACCAGATCAGCACTGGGTCCACCCTAAGTCAGAACAGAAAGCCCAAGCCTCACCTGTCTCTCCCTGACACCTGCTGTAGGACTCTGTGGCGTTTTAGAATCTGAAATGAATGTGGATCTGATTGAAGGGTCAACCTCCTTCAGGCCTCATCTGTCTCTTAGCCAACATCGAGAAGCTTACTCTCCCCACTGCATGGCCTTCTTGGGGTGTCTGCTCGACTGGCTTCCCCTCCACCCCCAGCACTGAACAAGAAGGCCTTTGCCTGACCACCTAGCCATTTGGACACTGCTGTAGGGGTGGGATGGGCTGCTAGCTTCTTGCAGGAGGCTACTTCCTGACCTTACCTCTCCAGACAGGAGCCCTAGTAGCTCAGTTGATGCAGAGTTAAATGATCTTACTCCTGTCTTTTCCTTTCAGGCAACATTTAAAGGCTGGATGGACATTATGTATGCGGCTGTGGACTCCAGAGGGGTAGGTTGGCCTCTCCCACCAAGTCGGGCACTTAAGGGCTGGCCCTGGAGCAATGGTCTCCCGAGGAGTCCCAAAATTCTCAAATATCTTTCAAATTGAATTCACTGTAGTTTACCGGAGTCTTAAAGTCTTACCCCAAGAGGATGGGGTGGAAGCAACAGAGATGCAGATCAAGCTTCTGCTTTGGCCTTATACACCTTCCATTCACACTAACAGTTCACAGGAAACTAAGAGATGCCCCACATTCTCAAACCTCCCGGTGGCCCGGGCACAGAAGCCATGCCGTGACACTGTGCCAGCCTGAGCCCAGCATGCCCACTGTCCTCACCTGCCACCGTCCGCTTCTCACCCCCACTCCCCCACCCCCACCTGTGCTGGTGACCATCCTCGGGATACCCCCTCTCTTCCAAAGAATGGCACCCCCCAGCTGGCCCGCTCCCACCTGATCCCCTGTCCGCTTTCTCCCCCACAGTATGAAGAGCAGCCCCAGTGGGAATACAGCCTCTACATGTATATCTACTTCGTCGTGTTCATCATCTTCGGGTCCTTCTTCACCCTGAACCTTTTCATTGGTGTCATCATTGACAACTTCAACCAGCAGAAGAAAAAGATACGTGGAGTGCAGGCTCCCCCTGGGCTGGCTGGGCTGGGTGCCAAGGGTTCGGGCTCCGGGCCCCGTTTTGGCTTTCCGCTGAGGATGGTCCTCTGCTTGCTCCTGCCGGGTGGAGTGGGGTCACATGCCCAGGCCTACAAAATGCACCAAGGGACCCCACACCTGCCCTGCCCTAGTCTACCTGAGAGATGAGGCTCCCAAGAGAAGCTGGGTGAAGATGGGGACTCGTCACCTGGTCCATGACAGGGACAATGGGTGGGGCCTATGCAGAGGGTCAAGGTCTTTCTGGAACTCCATCAGAGAGGCCATGATTGATTTGCAGGTCAACCAGGCGAACAGAGAGAACCTCCAGCCTGGCTGCATTGGGCAGGGGAGAGAGTGGGGGTGGGGACAGGATTTGCAGGTCACAAAACCAGAGAGATCTCAAGATGAGTGGGGACAGGGGCCCTGGAAAAGCAGATTTGAGGAGGAGTCTGTGGTGCAGGATAGAGACATACTTTAGTGGGACAGGAAGTGAGGAGGAGGCCGGCCCTGGTGCCCTCATTATTGAAGCAAGATCCCTGTGCCGTCCATGCCTCTGAGCACCCCAAAATGAGTCTGGTGCCTGTCTCTCTGCACTTAGGGGGCCAGGACATCTTCATGACAGAGGAGCAGAAGAAATACTACAACGCCATGAAGAAGCTGGGCTCCAAGAAGCCCCAGAAGCCCATCCCAAGGCCTCTGGTGAGCCCGGCTCCCAACTCAGCTAGAGTGGGAAGAATCTGCTGGGGGGACAGCCTGGGAAGCCCTCACACCACATGACCAACTATCATGGCCTCTTTACGGTCTTTGGGCCCAGCCTGGGGCCCTCGGCCAGTCCAGGGAAGGAGGGGCACTCTCAGGAGCCTGACCACACACAGAGGTCTCAGTCTCAGAGAGATAGGAAGGAAGACATGAGAAGGCTGCAGCAACCAGGGAGCACTCTCTTCCCGCAGAAACCCATCTGCCTCTGAGCGAGCCCCCTCCTCCCCTGCAAGGGCTCAGGCTCTCTCCAGGGAGAGCAGGGCCGTCTCCACAGCCCCCACCCGCATTCATTGCCTCAGCCTTGCAACCCCTGAACGGCAGAGTCCCCTGGTGTGTGGGGCCAGGAGAAGTCCTCTGCCAAGCTGACTCCATTGCCTGATCAGTCCATTCTCCAAAAAAATGTATGCTGGAGCAGAAAGGGGGGTGGTACTCAAAGTAAGTAGGGGACATAATCTAAACCACTGGCTGGTACGTGGCAGCCCAAGTTTTTTAATCCAATTCATCAATTTCATCTGATTCTTTCTTTCACCTTTCTCTGTTCTTTCTCCATTCTCTGTTCTGTGTGTGTGTGTGTGTGTGTGTGTGTGTGAGAGAGAGAGAGAGAGAGAGAGCGAGCGAGCTGGGGTGACTTACAATTAAAGACACATATATAGTTAGTAGAGTAAATAAAATTGATTCCCTAAAACGAGTAGAGAAAATGTACTAACCTAGGGCTAATATGGTTACTAGGATTGAACTTTAAATTTGACCTTGAGCCTTCAGACAGTGGGAACAAAAAGAAAAGCACAATGAACATCTACTAAGGAAACTCAGAGTAGGAGAAATCGCTTCCTGAAGATCCATCAGAGAAGACCTTAGGGAAAAGGGAGCCTCGGGGCTGGGCCTTGAAGCCCAGGTAGCACTTTAGCAGGTGAGCCAGGCTGTTTCCGAGCTCCTGACTTCCTCTCACTGTGACAGCTGGTGGGGTGTTGGCCTCACAGGACAGTAAATGAAGCGGGTGATCTGGCAGGGAGTCAGCAGTGGTGGGAGGGGGCCTGCTAGCCTGCTGAGGTCCCTGCTGAGCCCATCCTTTGCCCCTCCTTTCAGAACAAGTACCAGGGCTTCATATTTGACATCGTGACCAAGCAGGCCTTTGACGTCACCATCATGTTTCTCATCTGCCTGAACATGGTGACCATGATGGTGGAGACGGACGACCAGAGCCCTGAGAAGGTCAACATCTTGGGCAAGATCAACCTGCTCTTCGTAGGCATCTTCACAGGCGAGTGTATCATCAAGATGGCTGCGCTGCGGCACTATTACTTCACCAACAGCTGGAACATCTTCGACTTCGTGGTTGTCATCCTCTCCATCGTGGGTAGGTGTACAAGTTGTCTGGAGAGAGGTACCCTCCCCAGGCCAGGCCTCTCCCCCGGCCCCTGGGCCTCAGGACTCAGGCTCCGCCATTCTTCCCTCTCTGCATTCCTCACCTCTCCCCCGTCACATTCACACAAACACACACTTAAGCTCTTGACCTTGCCCCACGGACCTCTGCCTTGGAGTGACCGGCTTTCATCTTCCGCGGTGGACAGCCCCTGCCGTGGGTGAACTCAGAGGGAAGGGCGGGGGCCGCTGCAGCTGTGGCGACAGGCAGATGGTTGGAAGCTGGGAGTCGGGTCAGAAAACGCCCAGGGAGGCCCCAGGCAGGGGTGAGGGCTAGAGTGTGCCTGGTGGGACTAAATGGGCAGGACATCAGCAGCGGGAACGGAGCTGTTGGCGGGCAGTCTCAGAGGCTCCTGGAGGTGCAGCGTGTACCTCGGAACACCTCCTGGTCCCTGTGCTTGGCCAAACCAGAGGGCCACGCTTAACAACAGGTCAGCGTGGAGCCAGAGTGTCTGAGTCAAATCCCAGCTTCGCACTGACTAGGTGGCCACTTGGGTAAGTTACCTCACCCCTGTTTCCTCTCCTGGAAATGAAGATGATGGTATCAGCTCACTTCCTAGAGTGACTAGAAGGGCTTAATGTAGATACAAAGTGCTCAGCTCAGTGTCTGGTTGACAGTAAATACTGGACTCATGTCAGCCAGTGACATCATTATTATATGAGGACTCTGGAACGATCACTTGGGCCAATATGAGGCAAGTTAATTTCACTCTTTCTCCTAATAGTTATATCTGTGCTCCGTAAAAATCCCAACCCAGAGTAGTCAATAGAGACCAAGGGGTGGGTAAACCCTGCAAGCTAACAGAGTTGAGAGGGTAATAGGAACCATCTCAGGAGGCTGAGATGCACCTGGCACAGTGTGGCACGTGTGGCATGGCACAGCGTGGCATGGGGGAGAGTGCTGACTCCCGGGCCAGTGCTTTTTGCACTCAGTGTGCATGTGAGTCATCTGTGCTTGTGCAAATGCAGTGGGTCTGGAAAGGAGCTAAGATTCAGCATTTCTGATTAGTGCCCAGGAGATCCCAAGGCTGCCTGTCCTCAGACCACACTTTGAGTAGAAGGCCTGAGTTCTGGTCCAAGTTAGGGACCAAAATGCTGAGCAAGTCCCCTCAGGCCTCAGAGGCCACGATCTAGAAGATGGGCCTAGTACAGCTCTTCTGTGCACTGTCCTCAGAAGACTAAGGAACAAAGGGGCAGAGAAGGCACTTTGCAAAGAACATGGGTCCTCATTTTCTGGATCCTATGCAGAAATGGAGATTCGGAGAGGCAGGGGGAGCAGGGCCTTGCAGTTAAGCCAGTCGGGCCTCCAGTTCCCGGCTCCTTGCTGTACAGACCCCATGCAGCAAGGCTGGGCTGGAGAGACCGAGCTGCCATGGGTGGCCACAGCCTCTGCTGTTTCCCATAGGCACCGTGCTCTCGGACATCATCCAGAAGTACTTCTTCTCCCCTACGCTCTTCCGAGTCATCCGCCTGGCCCGCATCGGCCGCATCCTCAGGCTGATTCGCGGGGCCAAGGGGATCCGCACGCTGCTCTTCGCCCTCATGATGTCCCTGCCCGCCCTCTTCAACATCGGGCTGCTGCTCTTCCTTGTCATGTTCATCTACTCCATCTTTGGCATGGCCAACTTCGCCTACGTCAAGTGGGAGGCTGGCATCGACGACATGTTCAACTTCCAGACCTTCGCCAACAGCATGCTGTGCCTCTTCCAGATCACCACGTCGGCTGGCTGGGATGGTCTCCTCAGCCCCATCCTCAACACGGGGCCCCCCTACTGCGACCCCAACCTGCCCAACAGCAATGGCTCCCGGGGGAACTGCGGGAGCCCAGCCGTGGGCATCCTCTTCTTCACCACCTACATCATCATCTCCTTCCTCATCGTGGTCAACATGTACATCGCCATCATCCTGGAGAACTTCAGCGTGGCCACAGAGGAGAGCACCGAGCCCCTGAGCGAGGACGACTTTGACATGTTCTATGAGATCTGGGAGAAGTTCGACCCGGAGGCCACCCAGTTCAT